GAGGGCCTTATCGAGGCTGTCGACGGTGAGGGTGGTGGGACAGACCGCGAGGAAGTGGTCCCGGACTACACGAAGGGAGTCAAGGAGGCGAGTGACTAGGAAGTAGAGAGTGATGTACATGGGGGGGGGGTTCTTGGCGCAGAAGTCAGCAGGAAGCGCAGCGCGGTAGCGAGTGTCACTAGTGCGGAGGTGCGTGATGAGATCAGCGACAGTGGGAAAGGCGGCAAGGTCAGGGAAGAGGAAGGGGAGCATGAGGCGGCTCAGTGCAGCAGTGGCAGGGGAGGAGTAGCGCGCAACTACAAGCGTCGTACAGGGTCTGAGCACTCTTGTACTGGCTAAAGTGCGCGCGCTCAGCGGTAGGCAGGTGGCGACGCACAGCAAGACGTGCAGCAGCATCGCGCGTGGCCCACTGAGAGCGAACAGTGGCATCAGCATCAGCAGCAGGGGCAGGGACGGCGCCAGAGGTGAGGTCAAAGAGAGACAGACCATCGGCCCTGTCGCACTGTAAAAACAGCTTCAGGTCGTCGAGCCAGACCTCAAAGTCAATGGCTCGACCCTCAGCGTCAAAAGCGAGGACACTGGGTGTAGCCATGACGACGACAGTGGCGCAGTGCAAGCAGTAGAGGAAGGGTACGCAGTGTCAGCAGTGCAGTGCTCACCGGGCAGGGCAGGTCGGGCGGCTCGGGAGGAAGGTCGCCTGGCGACACGGCCGCTAGGCTGCTGGGCGGCTCGGCTCCCGGGCGGCTCGGCTGCTGCTGGGCGGCTCGGCTGCTGTTGGGCGGCTCGGCGGCTCCAGGGCGGCTCGGCGGCTCCGGGCGGCTCGGCTGCTGCTGGGCGGCTCGGCTCCCGGGCGGCTCGGCTGCTGCTGGGCGGCTCGGCTGCTGCTGGGCGGCTCGGCGGCTCCGGGCGGCTCAGCTGCTGCAGGGCGGCTCGGCTGCTACTGGACCGCGTAGGTAGGGCGGCCGGGCGGGCCGCAGGTAGGGCGGCGGGCAGGCCGCAGGTAGGGCGGCGGGACGGCCGCAGGTAGGGCGGCGGACGGCCCGCAGGTAGGGCGGCGGGGAGGCCGCAGGTAGGGCGGCGGGACGGCCGCAGGTAGGGCGGCGGACGGCCGCAAGTAGGGTGGTGGGTAGGCCGCAGGTAGGGCGGCGGGACGGCCGCAGGTAGGGCGGCGGACGGCCGCAGGTAGGGCGGCGGGGAGGCCGCAGGTAGGGGCGGCGGGTGGGCCGCGATAGAGTGGCGGGGCCGCTCGAAGGAGTGGCGGGGGCCGCGACGAAGTGGCGGGGCCGCGCTAAGGGGTGGCGGGGCCGCGACGGAGTGGCGGGGCCGCGACAGCGTGGCGGGGGCCGCGACAGGACGTCGGGGCTGCTAGCAAGGGCGGCGGGTGGGGCCGCTAAGGTAGGGCGGCGGCTGGGCCGCGAGTAGGGTGGCGGTCGGGCCGCGAAGTAGGGCGGCGGGGCCGCGAAGGAAGAGGGCGACTCGGAGGGTCGCTAAAACAAGGCGCGCGCCTCGGGCGCGCTTCGGTGGGCCCTAAAGAACAGTCCCTAGGATGGGACCTGCTCTGATTCCATATGAAGAAATGAACGTGAATGAAATGACTATGAATGAAGTGAGTACAAATAGGAAACCCTAGTTGGGTTGTACCCCCTATGGGATACCCCACTATAGCCTACATAAATAAGTAAGCTATAATATTCTGACACGAACCGCGTCAACGTAGGTGCCTGTGGACTTCCAGGAAGCCATCTCTGCATCCATAGCTGCCTGCCACTGAGAGGAGTAGGGACCCTCTACGGACTCCGCGTAAGAGCGCGGAGTCGGGATGTCTAGTGCATCCGGGTCTCCCTCAGGGGTAAGCAGTACGGACGCGAGATGAGGTGAAGCAGCAGCCAGACACTAGAACTCCTCCTGCCTGTCCTCAAGGACGTCCGTGCCAAGAGTGCACTCACCCCCGACGGACGGAGGACAGACAGACGCAGACTCAGCAACAAGACTAGCAGCGTAGTCTAGACGACAGCGAGCAGCAAAGTCGACGAGCTCAGCAACAAGAGCAGACGCAGCAGTGGACTCAAAGGAGGGGTCAGTGACGACAGTAGCAAGGAGACGCGTGACAGTAGGACTGGCAGCTCGAAGAGAGTCCGACTCAGGGTCGACAAGCACAGGAAGAGAGGACTCAGGAGGAGAGGGCACAGGGGCACGCAGAGGAGCAGTGGACGGACGCAGAGACATCCGGTGCGTGCCAGGGACAGGAGGAGGACGCTGACGCGAACTGCGACCACTAGTGCGAGCAGCACGAACAGGCGACGCAGGACGAAACGCAGGCTCACGACGCTCAGCAAGACCTCCACTAGGACCAGTGTACGGAGAAGGAGAGGGCAGTGGGGAGGTCGGCGGTAACTGTGACTGGGACTGGACAGGCGGTGGACACTCTAAGGGAGGAGGAAGACCAAGAACTTGCTGAAGGAGCGGAGCAAAGTACAGCCGAGGCCGCGCGGCGACTCTAGACACAGCAGGGACAGCACCAGCACCCCCAGCGGCAGCACCAGCGTCAACAGCACCTCCAGCTCCAGTACCTCCAGCAGCACTAGTAGCACCCGCAGCACGACCGCCGCCAAGACTGACAGAAGTAGCCTCAGCGCCAACACCCTCAGCAGCTCCGACTCCAGTAGCATTCGCAGGACTAGCACCTCCGAGACCGGCGGCACGAGCACCCTCAGCAGTCGAAGAAGCACCAGCTCCAGTAGTACGCCTCCAGGGCCGAGCAAACCTCTCGCGCAGCTCCTGTGGAGAGAGTTGCTCCCGCCGAGACGAAGCACCTGGAGAACCAGCAGGCCCAGCACCGCCAGACGCCACACGAGCAGGTCCAGCGGCCGCGGGCTCCACACCCTTAGGCTCAGTAGCTCCAGACTCAGCACCCCCAGGCTCAGCAGCTCCAGACGCAGCACCCCCAGGCGAAGGACCCCCAGGCTCAGCACCCCCAGTCGTAGCACCCCCAGACTCAGCACCCAAAGTCGTAGCACCCCCAGGCTCAGCACCCCCACGCTCAGCACCCCCAGTCGCAGCATCCCCAGATGCAGCACCTCCAGGCTCAGCACCCACGCGCGCAGCACCCCTAGAGTCAGCACCCCCAGGCTCAGCACCCGCAGCAGTACCAGAGTCACCAGCAACCTCGACCGGCTCAACTGCATCTACCTGGGACACACCTCAAGGGGCAGGACCCTGAGGGTGGAGGGGGTCTACCGGGGGGGGACCTAGCACAAGGAAGTGCGGTTGCGGGGGGGGGGAAGGAGTGCGGTAGGGGAATAGGCGGTAGTAGGGTACTGACTCGTCGAACGTGACGTCCTGGGAGGACAGAACACGACGAGAGGTGGGGTGGTAGAACTGCCACCCAGGGGCGTCAGGGGGGAAGCCAAGGAAGACACAGGGAGCAGCAAGAGGGGACAGCTTGCCCGCAAACAAGTCGCGGACAAACGCCCGAGATCCCCAAACACGGAACGCAGACGCATCGCTGACCTTCCCAGTCCACAGCAAGGCTGGGGAGGTCTCCGGTCTGGAGACCCTGGGGTGAAGGTTGATCTGATGCGCTGCGTACCGAACCGCAAACGGCCACAGAAAATGGGGGGCAGCCGCATGCATCATGGACGTACGAGCGACGTCCATGACCATGCCAATGCGGCGCTCAGCAATCTTATTTTGCTGCGGAGAGTCCGTAAGCGTGAAGGTCTGGCGGATGCCTCACGCACGACAGTAGGCTCGCAGAAGGCCAGAGGAGAACTCTCAGCCTCGGTCAGAGTGCAGACGAAGAACAGGAAAGTCCGAGCCGAAGCTCCTCCTGAGCTGGAGACGAGCTGCGCGGATCCAGTCGATCAACACCTAAGCGACAACACTCTTGCTGCGTAAGGGGAAGACTGTGGTGTAACGCGAGTAGTCGTCAACCACCAGCAGGAAGTAGCGCTCGTGACCCTGTCCACGGACGCGGGCCGGGCCCCACACGTCCATGTGAAGCGTCTGCAGCGGGGCCTCTGTCAGGGGAATTTGAGAGGAGTGAGGGGCAGCTCGGAGCCGCCCCTCGACACAGGGGACACAGGAAGGACCAGGCCCCGGAGGAAGGGGAGGGAGGGACCAGGGAAGACCAGAGACAAGGACACGGGAAGCCATGCCTTGGAGACGAGGTAGGGAGGGGTGACCAAGACGGTGGTTTCAGAGGAGAGTCTCGTGAGACAGGAGGCGACACGAGCAGGGGGCAGACTCAGGACCAGACCTGGACGCTGCAGCAAACACCTGACCCGACGCAGCTACCTGACCAGACGCAGTGACTGGAGGAGACTCAGTGGTCAGTGTGTACAGGCTCGACCCCGGCCGACGTGTAAACGTGGCCAGGTGTCGGCCTGTCCGAGCGTCCGTGCAGTGGGTCACCCGCTGACTCGCAGGAGTGAACTGGTGAACCCCCGTATCCTGCAGGTCAGCACCACTCACCAAGTTTGTAGAGAACGAGGGGAGGTAAAGACCAGACAAGGTGCCAGAGGGGGCAGCCGGACACGGGAGGACAGTGGAGAAGTGAGAGAGGACAGGACCCCCAGAGGGGTCTGCCAGGGAGACTGCAACTGGCCGACCAATCGGCGTGAGTGTGGTGCGGTCTCGAAAGAAGGAGCGAGAAGCCCCTGAGTCAAGTGTGAAGGTGAGGGAGGCCGAAGCCGACGTGGTACCTGAGAGCGCAGACTCACCAGCACCTGAGGGTGCGGACGCACTGGCACCTAGAGCAGCAGCCTCACTAGTACCTAGAGCAGCAGTACTAATGCCCGGGTCGGGCGGGAAACACCGGTAACAGTCACCCTCATCACTAATAGTCACAGCATACATGGCAGCAATGATAGCATCAAAGTCAAGATCAAAGATAGCTACGCCTGCCCTAGACAGCTCTCCCCAGCGGGGGATCTCACTAGCCTCCGGGAACTGCTGACGCCAAGCGTCCGTCAGGCGGCCAAAGCAGCGCTGGGTGGGGTGAGCACCCCCACACTGCTCACCCGTGCGGTCGCCGGAGCGGAGGACGTAGGTGCACGGGCCAAAACCCCCACCACGTTGACGCTGCGTGTACCACTCACGGAGCTGCTGAGGAGGGGGGATGTCCCGAGAGCGCTGCGGCTGCTGCTGGCGCTGACCACTCCCGGAGCCACTCCGCTGAGAAGTACCACCTCGACCAGCTCCACCTCCTCCACCACCGCCGCCTCCACCTCCGCCGCCACCGCCGCCTCCGCTCCCACCGCTACCGCCACCGCCGCCTCTGCCTCCGCCGCTGCCACCGCCACCTCCACCCCCGGCACCACTCCCACCGCCACCCCCACTCCCTCCGCCGCCTCCACTGCCACCTCCACCACCCCCGCTAGATCCACCCGCGCCCTTGCCCCCCTTGCCCTTGCCAGAGCGGCGTCTCCCGCTAGGGGCAGACGCCGCACCGACCGACTCAAGACCAAGTAGGTTGGCCGCAGCAGCAGAGGCGACAGAGGGCAACAGGGGGGAAGGGGAACACCCCTCAAAGATGGGGGTGCGAGGGTCACCACGAGAGGCTCCTACAGCGACTATGCTCTTCTCCGCTGCTAGGAGGGCCTTCTCTAGGAGGTCAATAGTGAGAGTGGTGGGACAGACTGAGAGAAAGTGGTCCCTGACTACGCGAAGGGAGTCAGGGAGGCGGGTGACTATGTAATAGAGAGTGATGTACATGGGGGGGGGGGTTCTTGGCGCAGAACTCAGCAGGCAGCGCGGCGCGGTAGCGAGTGTCACTAGTGCGGAGGTGCGTAATGAGGTCAGCAACTGTGGGAAATGCAGCAAGGTCAGGGAAGAGGTACGGTAGCATGAGGCGGCTCAGTGCAGCAGTGGCAGGGGAAGAGTAGCGCGCAACTACAGCGTCGTACAAGGTCTGAGCACTCTTGTACTGACTAAAGTGCGCGCGCTCAGTGGTAGGCAGGTGGCGACGCACAGCAAGACGTGCAGCAGCATCGCGAGTAGCCCACTGTGAGCGAACAGTGGGATCAGCATCAGCAGCAGGTGCAGGAGAGGCGCCAGAGGTGAGGTCAAAGAGAGAACGACCGTCCGCCCTATCGCACTGTAAGAACAGCTGCAGGTCGTCGACTTAGACCTCAAAGTCAATAGCTCGACCCTTAGCGACAAAAGCGAGGACATTAGGGGTAGCCATGACGACGGTAGACTAGCAGTGCAAGCAGTAGGGGAAGGGCACGCAGTGTCAGAGAGGCTGTGCTCACCGGACAGGGCTGCTCGGGCGGCTCAACTGTAGGGCGGCTCGGCGGTGTGAGCATCTAGGATCGAGCTCAGAAAAGATGATTCAAATTGAATTGAATTGAATTGAATGTCCACCTGGGTACAACACGAGGCTATATATAGGCTCGACACAAGGCCCCGTAACCAGGTGTTACGCGAAGGTTCCGCGGGTGGCGAAGCGTCCCGAACAGATCCTTACCGAATTCGGTAGAAGGCAATTCTGTGGCAACCGATAAGCCAGAATTCGGTGCACGCAACCTAGCTCGGTGCTATAACTATAATAAAATATAGGAAAGCACCTAGCCTAGGAAATCAAGCAATTCATGCATGCATATGATTATCCTATGCTAGAAATAGCATGATAAAGTAGAGGCAAGCAAGCATAGCTGGCATAAGCCGTCGTACTCTCACACGTCCCCCCCTCAAAGCTGGGTGGCGTGAGATACACCCTGCTTGACAAGATAGTCCTTGAGAGCACGGCGTGCGTTGCCCATATCAGCTTCTGCAACCCAACTGTCCTCAGTGGGGTCGTATCCCTTCCAGCGTATCAGGAACTCGAGGGTCTTGCCGCCGCGGCGCCGATGAGAGAGGACGCGCTCGATCTCGTACTCGGGTTCATCCTGTACAAGAACAGGTGGAGGTGGCGGTAGCTGCCGTCCCTTGAACTGTTGGTTGGGGTCCTTGTAGGGTTTCAGTAGCTGCACATGGAAAGCATTGTGAAGCTTCCACGTATCTGGTAAGCGCAAGCGGGATGTACCTGGTGTCACCTGTGCCTCAACGAGAAAAGGACCACAGAAGCGAGGCCGGAGTTTGGATGGGAGGTGAGAGAGGTTCAAGTTGCGCGTGTCAAGAAGCACCTGATCTCCGACTGCTACTGAGTGATCACGTCGCTGACGATCGGCATACTGCTTCTGGGAGGTCTGCATCGTGGTGAGTCGTCGCTGAGTCTTCTCCCATAGCTGCTGCATGGTGGTGACGAAGTCATGTGCGGCTTGGACGTGTGCCGGTGTAGTTGGCTGCTGTGGTGTGAGTGGTTCCCGTCCGTAACACAGGAAGAAAGGAGTTTTCCCTGTGGCCGCATGTGATGCGTTGTTGTAAGCGAACTCTAGGGTTGGTAACTGTGTGTCCCAGTGGCTGACGTCTTCCTTGCAAGCTGTGCGCAGTAACTGTTCAACCACTTGATTGAGTCGCTCTGTCTGTCCGTCAGTCTGGGGGTGGTATGCTGAAGACATAGCAAGCTTTGTCCCCAACAGTCCCATGAGCTCCTTCCAGAACTTACTCGTGAATTTGGGGTCTCTGTCTGAGATGAGTGTAGCGGGGATGCCGTGGATGGTGATGATGCGGTCGAAGAAGAGTCGAGCAGTTGCTTCAGCTGTAGCTGTGGCGTTGGTCGGTATGAAGTGACCCATTTTGGAGAACTTATCGATCACCACGAGGATGGAATCATGTCCCCGTGAGGTCGAAGGAAGCCCTGTGATGAAGTCGAGGCTAACGACCTGCCATGGCTGCTCCGGTACGGGTAGAGGCTGAAGTAACCCTGCTTTTTTCTGCTTGCTGCTCTTCATCCGCTGGCACGTGTCGCAAGAGGTGACGAACTGCTGCACGTCTGCTGCCATCCCGGGCCAGTAGTAATACTTCGCTATCCCTGCTAACGTCTTGTTGCTCCCAAAATGTCCCGCCGTAAGGTACGTCGTGAAACTCCTCCAATAGGATCTGCCGTAGCGGGGCGTAATTCGGTACCCAAATCTTTCCTGAACCCTTCCTTACAGCTAAGTCTTTCTCCCACTGTAATAGCTTCTTGGTCTGTGCTGTAGCAATCTCTGCGTCCACGGAGTACCCATGTTGGAATAGACCCTTGAGCAGAGGGTTCATCCCGTCGAGCTGGATGCCTGCTACATGTCCGGGGCGGCTCAACGCGTCTGCCTTGTTGTGTAGCCCGGGCTTGTAGACGATGTCGTAGTGGAAGTGAGTTTCCAGGAAGTCCACCCACCGCACCTGTCGTCGTGAGAGTGTCGGCTGTGACTTCAGGTATTTGAGACTGCAGTGGTCAGTATAGACTGTAGTCTTGGCTCCCTCTAGGTAACACCTCCATGCCTTGAAGGCTATGACTATCGCTAAGGCTTCCTTGTCGTGAATGGGGTAGTTTAGTTCTGCTCCGTGTAGCTTCTTACTGAGGTAGGCGATGGGCTGCAAACCGCGTCCGTGATCCTGCATCAGTACTGCTCCGACTGCTTGGTCACTAGCGTCTGCTTCCACCACGTAGTCCTTGTCTGGATCCGGCAAGATGAGTACTGGCGCTGTAGTCAGTGCTGTCTGTAGCTGCTCCATGGCTTGCTGATGAAGGGTATCCCATTTGTAGGGCGTATCCTTTTTCAGTAGGTCGGTCAGTGGCGCTGCTATCTTAGCGTACTGCGGCACGTACCTGTTGTAGTAGTTGGCGAAGCCTAGGAACTGCTGTAACTCCTTCACGTTCTCTGGTACTTTCCACTTCTTGACGGCTTCGATCTTCCGTGGGTCCACGTGTACGCCCTCGGCACTTACCATGTGCTCGAGAAACTGCACCTTCTTGAGGGCGAAGTCGCTCTTTGACAGCTTCACGTAGAACTTGTTTTTCCGCAGGATCTAGAACACCTTCCGCAGATGCTCCACGTGCTCCTTCATGTTCTTGGAGTAGATGAGAATGTCGTCCAGGTACACCACCACGCATTCGTCCAGCAGGGGTCGTAAGATGTGATTCATCTCCGCCTGAAACGTTGCTGGTGCGTTGCAGAGTCCGAACGGCATCACCAAGTATTCGTAGGAGCCGTATCTGGTACGGAACGCTGTCTTGTGGACGGAGTTGTCTGCCATCTTGATCTGCCAGTAGCCCGATCGTAGGTCCAGCTTCGAAAATACTGTTGCTCCACGCAGTTGATCGAGTAGGTCGTCTATGCGCGGTATGGGATATTTGTTTTTGACTGTCTGTTTGTTCAGTGCGCGGTAGTCGATGCACATCCGTAGACTGCCGTCTGGTTTTGGAGTGAAGAGAACTGGTGCGCCGTAGGGAGAGGTGGATGGGCGGATCAGTTGTCTGTCCATTAGATACTCTATCTGTTTTTTCATGTCTGTCAGTTCAGTCGGACTCAGTCGGTATGGTGCACGTGAGACGGGTTTCGCACCTGGTTCCTCCACGATCTCGTGCTCGTGGGTGCGTGCTGGAGGTACGCTCGCAGGTAGGTCGTCGGGCATTATATCCTTGTACTGCTCCAAGACCTCTTTCACTGCTGCAGGTAGCTCGGAACTCAGCTTCTCCTCCTCTGCTGCTGCCATAACCAGTGCTAGGTAACCCGTGTTACTCTTGTTCACCGTCTGTTCGAACTATGCCAGTGTTGTTTCAGGTACGTCCCCTGTATCCGTCCAGGTTCGTAGTGCTATCCGCTTCCCATTGCTGTAGATGCACACCTTGCTGTTGACCTAATCGATCTCGGGGTTGAACCGCTTCAGGAAATCTCACCCCAAGATAAAATCTAATCCTTTGATGTTGGTGACTGGTAGCTTCGGCTTCCACCTCAACGCACCTATATGCAGTTGCAGTGATGCTTCGCCGTGGATAGGAAGCTTCGTACCGTCCACCATGGTTGCTGAAAACTGCGTCTCTTCCGCCTTCTCTCCAATTTTCTCCAATGCTCCGCGGTCACACACCGAGTGAGATGCACCGCTGTCCACCAGTGCCTGGAGGCGTCGCCCATTGCATAACACCTCGAGGAGTAGTGGTTTCTGCTGTGCTGAGTAGCCAAAGAGGGTCTCGTTAATAGGATCATAGGGTACATCAAACTTAATACCTTCCCATTTTCCTATACCTGACTCAGCGCTTTCCAACTTCACCTGGGGGGTAGGAGGATTTTTCCGAGGCTTGTATAATTTTTCCTGAGCCTGGATGTCTCCTCTAAGCCTTGGCAGCTGTGTAGGCTTCACCTGTGGGCGACGGGGAGCCTTAAGACTGTGCTGCGGGGAGAGAATATTAACTCCACGGAACGCACGACCCTTCTCTACTCTCCGTAGTATTTTGCCCAACTTCTCAGGTACTTGAATAATTTCTAAAGGCTTTTTCTTGGCCTCTAGACCTCCCCTGAATTTTTTGAAGGCTTGTAAACCACGAGAAGCAATATTCTTCGTTAGAGCATCTTTATAGGTCGATCCGCGGCTACTGGTGATTCCCGTTTTTTTACTTCGGGGGTGCTCCACTGTTTTCGTCCCAGAGTGCCGCACGTGCTTTCTTCATTTTGTAGCACGACAAAAACTGATCTCCTGCTGCGCCGCAAAATTCGCATTTTGTCGGCTGCTGCTTCGCGTCGTATTTGTCGATATCCATCGGTTCTGTGAACGTGGGGGGTGCCGATCGCTCCGTGCCGAATGTACGGTTCGGCGTGAAGCGTCGTGTTTTGGGTTGACTTTGAGTCAGTGCG